CAGAGAATCTGCCTCGCCCGGGAAGAGCGCAATGATGGTGCCAACTTGGGCCAGTGAAGCAACGTCCTCCACAACTAGACTGAAGAACAAAAAGGAGAGCAACTTGTCTGTTCCCCTTCCCCCAATTCCCAGGAATGTTCCCATCCCCCCAACTCCCCAATTAAAAAAAAAAAAGAACCCTTATGCTAACTATTTTCCACGTGTATCAGTTGGGATAGGTGAGGTTAGGCTGCAGTAACAAATATCCCCCGCACCTCACTGACTTTTCATTTATTCTACATATTCATTGTGACCTATTGCGCGTCATCTTTTCTCTGGAGCCCAGGCTGACAGGGCAGCTTTTATCTGGAATGCATAAGTCTTCTGAAGTGGAAAGGAGGAGAGCATGGTAAACACTGCACTGACTCTTAACACTCCTGACCAGAGGTGAAACATAACTGCTGCTCGTATATCATTGGCCAAAGCAAGTCACATGGTCACACCTGAGTTGAATAGGGAGGGCCTATATCAGTGGCCTGCAGACTGGGGATGGCCAGATAGTAAATGTTTTAGACTTTGCGGGACATATGGTCTCCGTCACAACTACTCACCTCCGTCACAACTACTAAAGCTTTGTGCCTTCAAAGCACAAAGCAGCCATAGCCAATACACTGTCAAAAAATAGAAAACTCACCCTTAGCTCGTGAGCCATACAGAAACGGGCAGCAAGCCAGGTTAGCCCACAGGCCATCGTATGCCAATCCCTGATCCTCCTCATCCTCCCACAGGGAGAAGCTCTTCAGGAAGGGACCCCAAATATGGATACAGAGTAGCACAGTCTACTACACCATATGTATAGGAAAGTGAGGGAGAGCGAGAACTGCCACTTTTATTGCACAGCTGCGTTTCCTGCATTGTACTGTGATTCTTTTGTTACTTGATACTGTATTTCTTGGTGATCGTTTCATGTCAGTAGCTATAGCATGACTTCATTTGGTTTCATGGCTGCCTCGTTTCCCCTGGTATGGATGCACTACATTGGGTTTTGTTTGTGGGATTGTTTTTATCATTAATCCTCTGTTATTAGATACCAGTGGCATTTAAAATATCAGGAGGAGGAAGGCAGCCTCCAGAGAGAGACTGTTGTAAAGACAGAACCGGCATCCCAGCTCTCCCAGTGTGGATACATGGTTTAGAGTGCGTTCCCTGAAATCTCTCAGGCCTCCCTGAAGACACACTTTTCCAGAAGGCCTCTTTATTATTACAGCCATTTCTGGTCCTTGCAACACTGAACACAGTTGCAATTCCAATGGCATTTGCGGGGGAGGTTATACTGAAAAGGGTAAATGTAAGTGACGAAAAACTAGCAGTGAAATCTCAGAAGCTGCACAACATTATCGCCCTGACCCCACACGGAGACGCGTTTCAGGCCATGTGACAGCCGTGCAGAGGCAAGACCAAAGCTGCCTTTCCGAGGTGGGCCGGGAGGGAGAGGGAAGCTGAGATGACCCGCTCCCATGAGCTCATCCCCTCTTCCTTCTAACAGGACACCACCACGTCCGTGCGCATCGGCCTGATGATGGAAGAAATGATCTTCAACCTCGCAGACACGCACCTGTTCTTCAACGACCTGGAGGTTTGCAATTGCTTATTTCATATTTTCCATATTTAACCGCCTGCATCTGGTTTGGGGGAAGAGACGCCGCCTTTTTTCTTTTTCTTTCTTTTTTTCCCCCCCTTTTTCCTTTGGCTAGCAACCCTCAAGAAGGCACAATTTTGTGGCCAGCAACAGTTTATTGAAAACACACTTGACGGATTATTTCCGCATTTTCCCTGGGCCGTTAACAGGCCTTTCTCCCTGCTCTCGTGGTGATGTTCACTGGTGGTTTCACTAATCCAATAAAGGCCGCATGGGTCCTTCCTCCTGAAACTTGCTATGTGATAAGTTGATGAAGGCAAATTAGTATAGATCCTCCCGGGTCAGTAATAATTAGCAGTGGACCAGAAAAGAAGCTTTTAAAAGCTATTTACATTCCCCTGAAAAACACATTTTCCAAAGCAGGAAGAGCACGCAGAGGGAGTACACCTGTTTAAAGTATCTGCTCCTCTACCCCTAAGCAAACGTCAAGGGAGATAGGAAATGGGGAGAGGACGTTCAGAAATAAAGTTTAATTCACTCGTTTATACCTGGCTTACATCAAAAAGATTTGGGAGTCATTTCAAATAGAAAACATATTTAAAATAGAAACTATTAAAGCAAACTATTAAAGCAAAGCCAAAGGAATAGAAAGCTATGTAATGAGTAAAAGTAAGGTTTTGTACCAAAAAAACAACAACATCCAGCTTAGGCTTAACTACTGCAGTTAAGTTCCGAGTTCATTTCTGAGCTTCCTGGTAGCCAAAGCAAAGAAGGAAATACAATACGTTGCTTATCTCTAATGAAAGAGCAAGCAGCTTTCTCCAAGATGAAGAAGGGCTTTTTTATTTTATTTTATTTTATTTTATTTATTTTTTTGGCTGATGAGAGGAGTAATGTGGGGATATTCTGGCTTATGTTAGCAGCATTGGTTTAACAGATGGAAAAATAAAAGCAACCTAGAATGAACTGTATGTGAAAGAACAGTCCTAGTTATCGTCATAGGAATTTTTTTTGCCCCAGAATCTGGGAAATCCCTGGGGACTAACCTGTGAAGTAGAAATATGAAGACTATGAATTCCAAATCTGCCCTGACTAGCCCAGAGCATCACTAACGTTCATCATCAGGAAAGGACAGAGGTTTCCTTTCTGGTCCGAGAGGCAGACGGGGAAGTCGTGCAGAAAGCACCAGTCTTGTGTTCTGTCCAGCCTAGGCCAGCCATGTGGGCCACAGTCCTCCTGTCTCTGAAAAGAAATTGTCCTCTGCCCAACATCTGTGTTAGAGAGAGGTTCAAGGTAGACGCTTTTCGAGGAAGAAAGAGAGCTTTGGAGTAGTGGAGGATACCACTAGCTTCAAGGCCCAGGACAGTCTCTTTAGCAAAAAGCAGTGTGCAGGCTTCCTTTACAAGGACCCTTCATGTCTTGGGGGAGAGGCTGCGGGAAAGGGAGGGAGAGAGGAAAAGGGAGAGAACTCACAAGTAAAACAAAACAAAACAAAACAAAATAAACACGGCAGTTGACTTCAGCTAGTGTTTATGGAGCCTAATATAGTAAAGACTCAGCTGATTGCAAATAGCAAAACCCAACTTGCTTTAGTCAAAAAATGCAAACCACTGGCCCTTGTAGTTGAAAAGTCCGGGGTAGATTTAGCTTTTCCCTGTCTCCCTCTTAGAATGTCAGTGTCATGAGAGCAGGGACCGCATCTGTTTCCTTCACCCTACATCCCCTGGGCCCAGGCAGTAAACAACCAAACAAATCCATAAACAAGAAAGTTTGTGATAGTGAAAAGGATGTGAAAAAAATAAAATGAGATGTGATAGTGAGGAATTGGTGAGAGGAATAGGGTGGGGGTGGGGTCAGCATTCTCCAGGGGGTCAGAAAAGGCCTCCCAAGGAGGTGACACTTGAGCCAAGGCCTAAATGATGACAGGAGCCAGCCATTTGGGGGAGGGGGGGGTATCAACAAGTGCAAAGGCCCTGAGGTGAGAACAAATGTGAAGTAACCCAGGATCAGAGAGAAGGCGACCTGACAGCAGTGAAGGAGCGAAACCGCAGGGCAGCAGAGATACATGAGCCTGGAGGCGGGGTGTGGGCCAGACATGGCTGCAGACATCGGTGTTTATTGTAAGTGCTGTGGACAACCCTGAGGCCAGAGAACATTAAACAGGAGAAGCCGCGGGACCTGGTTTATGTTTCTAAAACACCACTCCGGCTGCTGCATGGAGGATGAGCAGTTAGGGGACCGGTAGAGGCAGGGAGACCATAGGAGATTATTGCAGCCGTTCAAGCAAAAGAAGAAAAATGAGTTGCCTTGTGGTGGGAAAAATATGTGTGCTTCGGGACGGAGGTACTTAATTTGGCTGAGCCTCCGCTTCTCCCTCTGTAAAATGGGGGAGTTGGCAATCCACATGGTAGCTGTGGGAACTAAGTGAGGGGAGGTATTTATAATACCTAGTCCCAGCCTTGATAGCACTTTCTCTCTTTCCTTCACCCCTGCTTCACCTCATGCAGGTAACACTAGCATTTTTCAAGCAGCAAACCATGATCCACTTAAAGGGTCAAGACCAGCATGATTTCTTAAATAATTAAAGAGTAAGGAATAAAATAAAACAGAATACGATAGAGTATACCACAGATAGCAGTGGTGGCCATTGTTTAAAAAATTGTTTCAGTGATATAAATGATGTCTCAGTAATTTAAATCTCTGTGTGATAGAAATGTATTTCTTTGGTTTTTTTTGGAAATGTACTTCTTACCAAAGGTCACAGTCAAAACCATGTGAAAGCCAACGCTTTAGAGCAATGCAGTCCAAGAGTTTTCTACAATGATGTAAAGGTTCTCTTCTGCACTGTCCAATACAGTAGCCACGAGCCACATGGGGTTACTGAGCACTTGAAATGTGACTAGTGCAACTGAGGCACTGAATTTTTCATTGTATTTAATTTCACTAATTTTAACGTAAACAGTCACATGTGGCTGGCAGCTATCATATGGGACAGAAGAGGACATTTGCATCATTGTAGAAAGTTCTATCAGACGGTGCAACTCTAGAGTCCTAAATTTCTAAGATATGAACTTCATTTTCAATTGTGATGGTGATAATGACTTAGTAAGAGTAACCATAGCTGACACTTATTGAGTGCTTACTGGGTATCAGGCCCTGTTCTGAGCAGTTTACAGGAATTCACTTGTTTGACCCCCCACTAGTATTATCCCCATTAATCAGGGACAGCTTATAGACTGGATGGCTTAAACAACAGCAATTAATTTTCTTACAGTTCTGGAGGTTAGAAGTCCCAGACTGAGGTGTCGGCAAATGTGGTTTCTGGTGAGAACAGTCTTCCTGGTTTGTAGAAAGCCACCTTCTCACTGTGTTTCCACCTGGTCTTTCCTCAGTGCAGAGAGAGGGGGGAGGGGGCGGGAAGCGAGGTGGGGGGGCACTAGTGTCTCTTCTTTTTTTTATTAGTTTCAGGTGTACAAAACAATGTAATAGTTATACTTTTCACCCCTCACAAAGTGACAACCCCCTCCCCCAATCCACCACCCCTCACCCCCGATATCATACATATCTATTACAATTCCATTGACTCCACTCCCCACCCTGTACTCCACATCCCATGACTATATATGTATTAAATTATAGAGTCTCTTCTTATAAGGACACTAATCCAATTAGATCAGGGCCCCACCCTTATGACCTCATGTAACCTTAATTACTTCCTTTGATACAGCCACACTGGGGATTAGGGCTTCAACATATAAATTTGGGAGTGGGGGGGATTCAGTTCATAACAGACAGTCAACATAAAATCATTGTTTGGGGGAGAACTGCTCTTCATTCTCACCGTTTGGGTGGGGGGGGGGGGGGGAGGGCAGGAACGACACAAACATTCAGTCCATAACATCCCTTCTCCAAGTGAAGAAACTGAGGCTCAGAGAGGTTGAGTGAACAGCCTGAAGTCACACAGTTGGCAGCTGTAATATTCAGACCCAAGCAGCCTGGCTCCCGAGTGCTTGCACTTAACCGCTTGCCATGCTGCCTCTCCCAGGAAGAATGAGTGCCCTCGAGTTTAAGAAGGAAGACTCCCAATAGGAAGTCTAGACTCAGACGGTACGGCAGATGGTGGGTCCAAAGGAAAGGAGAGAGCAGCGAGGGGCGGAGTAGCTGGCCAGCCTGGAGGAGGACGAGCGAGCTCTGACAGCAAGAGGAGGGAAATTGCCACGATAAAACTGGAAGACAGAGACGAAAAGCTCCTCTGTGAGTTAGCATCTCATCTTATTGTCTACGCAAAACAACAGTCCCCCAAATAACAACAACCAAAAGCCCACTGAATTGCGACAGCAGCCTCGCCCCCCCGCCCTGCAGGTGAGCAAAGCAAAGTACAAAGGATCCGGATGCATTCTGGAAGGAAGGACACGGACCGTGGTTGCAGCTGAGTGGAGGGCACAGAAAGGGATAATAAACACAGCAGCGCACGTGCCCTGCAAGCTTACTGACGGGCTTGCCTGCGCACGTTCATTTAACCTTTTACAACAGGTAAATACTGTGTATCCCCATTTTAGAGATGGGAAAACTGAGGCACCGAGAGGCTAACTTGCCCAGCCCTGACATGTATTGAGCTCTTCTCACCCCGTGCCAGGCATCACACACGCATTTTTCTCACTGAAATCTCACAACAGCCCTGAAGGGGAGAATTTTTTTTTTTAATCTCTATTTTACAGATAAGGAAACTGAGGCCTAGAGAGGTCGCCTTCCCAGGGTCACCTAGCTAGTGTGGAGATTTGCTCCCAGGCAAAGCTGACTTCTAAGCTGGGACATTCATCCTTCAAGGAAGACACAGTTTTGAGATGCACCGTGGAGGGGAGAAGGGACACGGGTCAGCAGAGTGAGTGGAAGAAAAGAGCCCCTCACAGGAAACGAGATCAACCTAAAGGTTTTTGGCAGAACGTATCTCTGGCCAGGCAGGCGGGTAGGCTGGAGGGGGAGTGTTTCAACGTGCT